GCTCTAATATAACTAAGGAATTCTGTAGCCAACCACAACAAAGTACTACGATACACTGCAATCTAAGTTTTGCTGTTTGGTGTTCTCATCAAATTAAGGTTTACATGACAGTAGTAGTAAAAAAAATCCTATCTAATAAAAGAGAAACATGGTAATTAGCATACGACTGCTACCCTTCCCATTGGCTAATCAGGGCGATATGCAAATTAACTGCCAGCCAAGATGGCGGCCGGCAGCCAGGCAGCTGGAAGCGAACATGAGGCTTGCTTGCTTCAGTGACTGAGGAAGCCAACGTTCCCCGCCTGCCTTGCCGTTTGAAACATTGTAACAAATATAGAAGCTAAAAAAAACCCCCAGAAACCTGCTTTGAGCCGGCCAGGATCTCAGAGCTGGAGTTAAACATTGTTTCGATTACAGAACCCAAACAAACCAGATACCTGCTTTCAGCAGCAAAGGCCTCAGAGCTGGAGCCAGAGCTAAAGCTGGCCCAGAAAAAGAAAAGAGAAAAAAGAAAAAAAGGAGCAGTTGGGAGCTTCAGTCGGCCTGAAAACAGCCCTCAGCCCCTCATCCAGACTGGCCAGGCACCCCAGTGGGGACCCCCACCCTGAAGGGTGTGTGACCAGCTGCAAACAGCCACCATCCCCTCACCCAGGCTGGCCAGGCACCCCAGTGGGGACCTCCACCCTGATCCAGGACACCCTTCAGGGCAAACCAGCCAGCCCCACCCATGCACCAGGCCTCTATCCTATATAGTAAAAGGGTAATATGCCTCCCGGCACCGGGATCAGCATGACAGGGGGCAGCGGCCAAACTGTCTGATCGCCCTGCGGCTCTGTGTGTGACAGGGGGCGGGGCCACAACCTCCCTATCTGCCCTGCTGTGTGTGTGACAGGGAAAGGCGCCCCAACCCCCTGATCAGCCCTGCTCTGTGCCTGATAGGGGGGAGCTCCCCAACCCTCTGATCGCCCTGCGGCTCTGTGTGTGACAGGGTGCGGCACCTCAACCCCCTGACCAGCCCTGCTCTGTGTGTGACAGGGTGCGGCGTCCCAACCCCCCCCCCCCCCCGCCACGGGCCCTGCTCTGTGTGTGACAGGGTAGAGCCATAACCTCCCCATCGGCCCTGCCCTGAGTGTGAGAGTGGCGGTGCCCCAACCCCCTGATCAGCCCTGCCCTGAGTGTGACAGGGGGCGGTGCCCCAACTCCCCTATCGGCCCTACTCTGTGAGTGACGGGGGGAGCTCCTCAACTCCCTGATCAGCCCTGCTCTGTGCATGACAGTGGGGAGCTCCCCAACCCCCTGACTAACCCTGCTCTGTGCGTGATAGGGTACGGAGCCCCAACCCCCCTGATGGGCCCTGCTCTGTGCGTGACAGGGGGCAGCGCCCCAACCCCGATTGGCCCTGCTCTGTGCATGACAGGGTACAGAGCCCAACCCCCCTGATGGGCCCTGCTCTGTGAGTGACAGGGGGCATCGCTCCAACCCCCTGATTGGCCCTGCTCTGTGCGTGATGGGGTGGCACCGCAACCTCCCATCGACCCTGCCTTGAGTGTGACAGGGGGCGGTGCCCCAACCCCCCAATCAGCCCTACCCTGAGCGTGACTGAGGGTGGCATCGCAACCTCCCAATCCGCCCTGCTCTGTGCATGACAGGGGAAGGCGCCCCAACTCCCCAATCGGCCCTGCTCTGAGCCCGACCAGGGGTTGCACCTAGGGATTGGGCCTGTCCTCTGCCACCCGGGAGCAGGCCTAAGCCAGCAGGTCGTTATCTCCCAAGGGGTCCCAGACTGCGAGAGGGCACAGGCCGGGCTGAGGGACCCCCCCCCTTCCCGCCGAGTGCACAAATTTTTGTGCACCGGGCCTCTAGTAAATAATCAAGTCAAATGTTGGATGGTGGGCTACACAATGATTTTCATTACAATGTTTAGCTCTGAAGAGAGCTAGAAGACACTCTGGGGGAGGTATAAATCTTAAGTATTATGTGTTCAGTAAAAGGAACATATTAATTAGGGTTTCATAATAAAAATTACATTTTAAAAATAACAGTCATAAGCTAAGGAGCAACATGTTCTCTGGCTTCCCCATCAGGTCTTTCTACAAGTAGGCTGGGGCCTAACAGTAGATAAAGGATTACTAAGAGACAGTACAGCCAGCAGCTGACAGCATAGACCCCAAAGGCCGCCTATTCAAATCTCAGCTTTTAGCTGTGTGACTTTGGACAAGTTCATCTCCCTGTGCCTCAGTTTCCTTACCTACTGGGTGATGGTAAGGAAATAGAGTTTACCATGGAAGACTGATATCAGACACACAAGTTAGGCTTACATCAGGTTTATCCTGTCCACTGCTTGGGGATTTAGTGGCTCTCCAAAACTAAATCAGCAGAGAAATCCAGTACTGAAAATCTGAGAAGCATACCCTTAAATACAAAAAACTCCACCTACCAAACCCTCTCCTCTTGCACACAAAACAGAAAACACACAGGGCCTTCTCTTCTAGCAGCCATTGTCACTTGCCATGAAATGCTTTACACTCTAAGCAGAAATTCAGCCCCTTGACAAGGACTAGGGCTGTATATTAAAATATTGGATTAACTTTGCCTGAGATGTCCCAGTAACTGAATGAGTCATTCACTTCTTCAGCAACAGTAAAATGTCAAGGTTGTCAACTGCAGCCCCAGATGTTTGCAAAAATCATTTCCAAGTGATCACCAAACCAAACCCAAATACCTAATTCAAGATAACACTTTAAGCTAAATATATCAGTTTTTATGATTTTTTCCTGTAATGAAAAAATTTTTTTAAATAGGGTTACTGGGGATGGGGGGGGGGAGGAATTACAGTAAAATGAGCCCCAAAATTATTAAACAGAATATTAAACAAGGCCTAGAATTCCTCGTTTTGCTCTTGCTTCACAGGGTGTATCCTTTTTAAAACTTTTTTCCAATCTTAACAAGCACTAAACAAACTCTAAACTCAAGATTTAAAGATACCCCATGTATATATATCTCACCATATTTTTCTCTATCAGGCTACTGTACTTAGAAGAAACAGAAGCTTTAAAATTTTTTGATACATCTGTTTATAACAAGATTTTCACTACCTCACACCTGCAAAATACTTTGCGTGTTCTAAACTGATGGTAGCATCCACATGGAGGTCTTTTTCACTTCTATAATAATTCAGGTAAAGTCAGTAGTTTAATTTGAAATAAAGTCAAGCCTTTTGCCCTAACGTATCATAAGAACAAATGACAAGGATACGTATTCTTTGGTCCTTTAAAGTGTCACACACACACACACACACACAAACACGTCAACTTGCTCTTCCACGTTTCTCTATCCCTTAGTCAAGTGGTTGTCGGATCCGTTTGTCAGGGTTTTGAGTTTCTCGGGTTCATTCATTACAGGGGATACTACACAATATTCAGTTCAACTAAAACTTCCTTGGCGTCCTGGTCAGTGGCAAATAACTAGAAACGAAATACACGCGGCACAGCATCATTCTCCGTTTGCTTATTCTTAGCAACTTTAAATAAAAGACTGAAGAGGGGTCCTTTTCCCCACTCGTTTGACAACTCGACCACCGGGCACAGGGCTGAGCGCCCCACAGCTTCCGGCTGGGGTATAACACGCGCTTCCCCGCTAGGCTCCCACGTCTGCTCCGAACCAAACCGATGTCATAGCTGAAGAATGACGACACTAAAACCAACCCTGCCGATTCACCTCGACGAGGACAGCAACACCCACTAAACTTTTGTCTATTTCTAAAGCGTGGGTGGGGTCAAAACGCCTCGCCGCTGGGGTCTGCGGGATCCACTTCCGCGACTGGATGCGGCTCGGGGCCTGTGCAGCTTAACCCCGCGCGGGCCGAGGGGCTGCCCCGCGGCGGTCAGACGGCGCTGCGCCAGCCAGGGAGCGCCCCACGCCGCGCCCGCGCTCCGGCCGGCAGGTGCCCGAGGCCGGCCGGCCTCACGGGCCAGAGCGCGAGTGCAGGAGCCGGGCCACTGCCCCCGCGCGCGGTCCCGCCGGGGCACGCCGCCCGGCACTTTGTTAACTCGGCGCGGCCGGGGAGGAGCAGGCTCTCCGCCATCCCCACGCGGCAAAGACGGGCTGGAGGAGTCTTCCTCCATCCAGTCCGGGCTCGCCCAGCCCCGGCGGGGGGCCTCCGCGGGAGGGAGAGGGCCGGGAGCGGCGGGTAACTACGCCCCCCCACCCCCTCGAACTCAGCACCCCCGGGGCTTACCTGGGGGAAGGAGCCCTCGCGGCGCTGGCCTTTTGGGTAGTCTAAGTGACCCCGGTCCAGCATCAGGTAGAGCGAGAATATCACCACGCAGAAGATCGCGCTGCCGAACACGGTGAACTGGCGGCTTAACTTCATTTTCCCCGGGAGACTCGGGGCCAGGGCACTGTCTTCACCCAAAGGAGCCGGGCGATGGACGCTCTAGGAAGCGGCCGCCGGAGGTGCCCCCACTTCCGAGCTCGGGCTCTCCTCGCTTTCTATTGCGGATGCGGGTCCCAACCACGCTCCGCACCTTCTCGCGGGCGCCGCCACGCGCCCTCGGCCTTTGCCCCGGCCCACCGCCCTCCCTGGGCGTCGCTCCCCACGCGGGACCCGCCTCCAGTCCGTAAAAAGGGCCCGGAAAACTTAATCTCGAGCTCGGTGCCGGCACCCGGCAGGCCGAGCGGGGCAGGCGGTGGAGAGGTCGCCGCTCGGACTTCCTGCCTCCGCCGCCCGACCGAGTCCGCAGGAAAAGTTTTCTCCGCAAAGGGCAGGCGTGTCCTCCTCGCCCAGAAGGAGTGGGTTGGGCGGCTCCGGGGCCGACGGCGCGGAGCTGGGTCCCAGGAGCCGAGGGGTGAAGGTTCGGGTCGGGAGGAGCCTAGCCCCACAACTTAGCACCCGGACAGCCGGGCCCGCCTCCGCGGCACCGCCCCCGCCGCCCTCAACTAAGCCCCTTCCTGCTGCAGCGGCCGCCGCAGCTGAGGTCGGGTCGGGAAGCAAGCGGGGTGAGAGGACGCGGGGATCGGGCAGGAATTGCCCCCCAACGGGCGCCCACCTGCCTGCCTATCCCGCCCCCCGTCGCCCCTTCCTCTCCGCTCCCCAAGTAGGGCTGCGATGAGAGGGCGTAGGGGGCGGGCGGCGGTGGCGCGCGGAGGAGGAAAAGGAGAGCAAGGAGAGGACTATCCCCGGAGAGAAGCCCGCTCCAGCTGCAGCCGCAAGTCCCCTCCTTCCTTCCCGCTCCGCAAACGTGGAGATGGCGGCGGCAGCTGCGAAAGGAAGCGCTGGTTTTCCAGCGCCCCTCGGCGTCCCTAACCGCCCGCCACTAGCGGGAGGAGACGGCGGCGGCGGCGCGGCTGCCGCTGGGTCAATAGGCGCCCGCTGCCCGAGAGCAGGAGCAGACGGCCGGCCCCGCCCCTAACCGACGCGCCGGAATGAGGAGGCGGGGCCGCCAGCGTCCAATCACCGCGCGCCTCCCGCCGGGCCCGCCCCGCGCCTGCCGCCCTGCGCCGGGGCTGTGGGGAGACCTCGGGCAGCTCTCGTCACTGCGAGGCAGCGCCGCTGGAGTTGAGGCCCTCGGAGGCTGGCTTCCAGGCGCCCGCTGCCCACGTCCCACGGGGGCTGAACCGTCTCCCCAGCGCCCTGTCGCTGTTCAGGTTTCCCGTCCTTGAAGACCCGGTCCTGGCGTGCCTTGGACGGGAACTCTGGAGCTGTAGGAGAAGAAGAGGAGAATGAGTTCCAAATTCTGTGCAGACTCATCTCTTCTTGCATTGCTTTTGGTGCCTTCCTGGCGAACCCCGAGGGGCATCAGGCTGCCAGGGCACGCGCCAGGCCGGTGTAGACATCCGACTACAGGATCTGTGCGGGAAGCCTGCGAAGTGACGCGTAGGCCAGGTGTTACTGTATTCCCTTCAAATTCACCCTTTTTTGACTGTGCTGTCTAAATGCGTCTGGGCCTTTTAAAGTACGTTTCCCTTTGCCAGCAAGGGCTGAAGCTGTGTCAGTAGAGGGAGCTGAAGAGACAGTGCAGGAAAGAAGTGGGGGTGGGGGTGCTACCCGGGCTTGGTGTATTGGTAGGCAAACTCTTGCAGCCTACCTGACTTGCTCTTATGCCGAGACAGCCGTTTCCTCCCGCGTCCCCAGCTCGAGTGCTTTTGTAGTGTCTAGCAGCGGTTCTCAACCTGTGGGTCGCGACCCCTTTGGGTGGCTAACGACCCTTTCACAGGGGTCGCCTAAGACCATCGGAAAACACATATATAATTCCGTATTGTTTTTGTGATTAATCACTATGCTTTAATTATGTTCAATTTGTAACAATGAAATTGGGGGTCACCACAACATGAGGAACTGTATTAAAGGGTCGCGGCATTAGGAAGGTTGAGAACCACTTTACTAAAGTGAGACTCCATAACCACCTGTTGCCACAAACACCGGCGCTGGTGAAAAAGGAAAGCGATTTGCTCAGGTGTCGGCTACCTGAGAAGATGTCAAGGTCCTATCTCAAAGGCCAGCCTAACATCTCAGTGCAGACAGAGGTTTTTATAAGGAGGGAAAGGGAAAACGGAACAGAGATGGAGGGAAGGGGGGTGAAAAGCTCTCCGTGTGCAGAGCAGCACAGCCCATTCTGATCAGGGCCGAGAGACTGGCCCAGTGACGGTCTGGCGGCCGCCTCCTGGTTTCTGTAATCCTGGAGTTCCCACTGAAGGGCAGATTCTCCTAGAGCTGGGACGACTGAAGGTCGGAGTCTGTACCTTCTGAAATTAGGTCCTAAGATTCCGATTCAAACATTCTGTTTATCTATAAGCTACGTATTAGTCAGAATCAGCACTTAGAGAAGCAATGTCAAAAGGATGGGGGTTTATCATTTCCCACTGTTACAACACTACCCCATGAGGAGCTTTCCAGGCATGCTAGAGACAGGCTTTGAAGCAAGTTCCAGAGGGCAGCTTTTCAACAAGTTGTGCAGGTGTGACACCTTAGTGCAGTGGTTCTCAACCTTCCTAATGCCACGACCCTTTAATGCAGTTCCTCATGTTGTGGTGACCCCCAACCATAAAATTATTTTCGTAACTGTAATTTTGCTACTGTTATGAATCGTCATGTAAATATCTGATATGCAGGATGTATTTTCATTGTTACAAATTGAACATAATTAAAGCATAGTGATTAATCACAAAAACAGTATGTAATTATATATGTGTTTTCCGATGGTCTTAGGTGACCCCTGTGAAAGGGTCGTTCGACCCCCAAAGGGGTCTCGACCCACAGGTTGAGAACTGCTGCCTTAGTGAGTTCTCTGCCATTCAGTGAACCAGGCTGTTCCCTTTCCAGTGAAGGCTGGCTCTTGGCCTGGGGAGGGAGGGAGGCCTAGGGGAGTTCTTTTTTGGGGAACTCTCTCTCTCAGCTCAAAGATTAGTTTAAGGTTAGCTCCTTGTAACTGTTATTTCTATATTTTCTATGGTTCTCTTTTTCACTAGTGAATGCCTCATTACTCTAACCCCCTGTTATAGTTAATACTTAGAAGCTTTTCATTTTTATTACGCTTTACCTGTAGCCACTAGCTTGCTTGGTTGATTGAAGGCAACTTGGACTCAATGATGACCTGGAGTTTGTGAGGTTGAGATATCAGAGCTTCCTGATATAATGTGGAACAGGGAATCCAAAGGCTTTGGGAAATGTTATACTGGACTTATCCTATTCAAACTGCATCCCCATTGCCCATCTGTTCCATGCAAAGGTCTATAAGACATTCCCTTCACCGAAGAATGAGAAATTAGTGAGGGAAAGATATGCACCTTTGAAAATTTCTGTGATGTTCCCCTCTGTAGGCAATGTTTGACTATAGAGGATGCAATTACTGAGATGGGCTCCTTAATTTCAATGGGAATGACAGGATCCAGAGTAGTGACAGTACATTGCAGACAAGGAAATACACAGATTTTTAAGGTTTACTAGGCACTGGCTCTGAATTGATGCTAATTCCTGGGGATGTAAATGAAGCCTTCGCTCGTGTTCAGCTCACAGTAGGTTTTGTTAGTTCAGTTGATTCACATAGCCACGGTGTGGTTATTTTCTCAGTTCTAGAACTGACAATACACCAACTTAGCTTTCTTACCCATGGGTTGAGGTCCATTACAATACAAAGAGCTAAGTGGAAGCTCCTGGAACTTTCACTTCCTTGCAAGATAGTAAACCAGAAGCAATTAATGCCTCCATAAAAGACACCAGCTTGGCCAGTGCAAAAGACATATAGATCTTGGAGGTGACTGTGGACTATTATAAACTTAATCAGGAGGTAATTCCAATTGCAGCTGCTGTTTCAAATGCAGTATTTTTACTGGGACACAGTACCTGGCAATTGTTATATTACTGTTGACTTGGCTAATGCTATCTTCTTCATACTTATTTATAAAAACCACAAGAACCTGTTGGATTTTACCTAATGGGGTCAACAGTGTGCCTTCACAGTATTTCCTCAGTGGTATAATTAGTTATCCTTAATATCATCTACAAAGATGTTGATTGTCCTGACATTCCACAAAACACCACATCAGTTCATTTTGGTTGTTCATAATGACAACATTGTGCTGATTGAATCTGATGAGCAGGAAATAGCAAGGATTTTAGATGCCTTGGTAAGATATATTTGAACTAGAGGGCAGAAGATAGTAATCATGAATATGATGTGACAACTGTTAAGTGGTCCTGGCAAAGCCCACACCTCAGGAATGGGATAAGTTCAAGATGGTACACACGATATAAGGAAATGGCCACTGAGAGAGGAATACAAGCAAATGGTGTGGGTTAGAAATGATGAGAATGGGTAATAAGAGTGAAGTGATTGCCACACATTGCTCATACCAATCATGTGGCTATGCTAGGGAAGCAACAATCCAGATCATAGAAAAGGAACACCCTAAACCCAGGGAAGTCAGGAGTTGGGGGAACAATTATTTTCTCCTTTTTGCTCTTACCTTTAGGACACTTGGCCTGGCCTGGCATCTCAGGATGCTTTAGTAGCTATAAATCCCCATTATTAACTACATCCTAGGTCTTTAGGACTTGGGTCCTTACTCCTTAGATCTTAAACTAAAGACTGTTGACCTTACAAGTGGATGACCTTCACCCAAGATGACAAGTTTAATTTTCTGGACATTAATATGTCCCCCCTAGCCTAATATTATTGTCAGTCCCCATGGTCTCTCTCTACCTTCTAAGAAAAAAAAAACTTTTCTTAGATCATAGCTACTCTCTGAATTTAATTGATTGCTGCATCTATCACTCCCTTCTGACCCTACTAACAAAAACTTAACAGCTGTTCCTTTGAACACTGAAGAATCAAACATTGACCCCCATGTCAGCAAAATGCTGTTGCTGAAGTCACTACAAATCTATTAGCAGAATGCAGTTCACCTGGGGCCATCGTACTATACTGGCAAGGCTAACTGGCTCTGATAGGCAGATTGTTTCTTCCAAAGCACTCCAGCCTGCTATGCAGAAATTATTTAGTTCTGATCAAGGAGTTTGTCCATCACCAGGGACACAAAATTGACTCACTCCTTGTAATAAGTGATACTTAATACTCCTAATACAGTTTATGCCCCTAATAGAGTACTACTTGTTATGTAGACATCAGGCCTATACTTGACTGACAAACAAAACAGTCTAAACCAGTGGTTCTCAACCTTGGCTGCACATTAGAATCACCCGGGATTCTTTTTAAAATCCTGGTTTCTGGGCCTTATCCTCCGGAAATTCTGTTTCTTTGTTACTAATGTTGTGGCCCCACCCCCTAACAAAGAAACAGAATTTCCGGAGGATGAGGCCCAGAAATCAGGATTTTAAAAAGATTCCCAGGTGATTCTAATGTGCAGCCAAGGTTGAGAACCACTGGTCTAAACTCTCTGATGCAAGTAATCATAGTCACATTGTGCCAGGCTTCCTGCTGGCCAGTCAGGGTAGAATATATTTAAATGCCAAAACCTGTTGCTGCACTCATATTAATGAAACAGGGAAGACAGCAATCTATTTCCTACCTTAGAAAGAAAGTAGCATGGCTCTCTAAGGCAGTGATGGCAAACCTATGACACGCGTGTCAGAGGTGACACGCGAACTCATTTTTTTGGTTGATTTTTCTTTGTTAAATGGCATTTAAATATATAAAATAAATATCAAAAATATAAGTCTTTGTTTTACTATGGTTGCAAATATCAAAAAATTTCTATATGTGACATGGCACCAGAGTTAAGTTAGGGTTTTTCAAAATGCTGAAATGCCCAGCTCAAAAGGTTCACCATCACTGCTCTAAGGTCAATCACAGCAGCACCTGAGACATACTTAGCTGGCTTGGTTCTGGATGGGGAGCCTTTTATCCTTCAAGTTGGCCTGATCATCTTGCCACGAGTCACAGTTGTAGTCACTCTCATTTGACGTGGCTTAAGACAAACAGAAAAGACTTGATCCAAGCCCCTATAATTAATCAGTACAATTAATTAGATAATCTAATGGGTAACTTGAACTCCAGGAAATAATTGTTACTTGGATATATGGAAAGTCAAGGGGTAGAGTTACTGAGAGACAGCTACCACATAACTATACATGTCTTAACATAGGCCAGACAGACAAGTCTGACCAGAGTCTTGTTGGAATGCCCTGCAATTTCTCCCTGACCAGGGAGAGATAACCTTCTTGTGAAGGGCTTTATTGCAGAAGACTGCCATAAAATTTATTCTCATCCATCTCCTTAGTATCAGTTGAGCACAGGACTTTCCATCTTACTCCACCCCTGCCCCCCTTCAAATACAGCTACAAGCTTTTTTTAAAAAAAAATAATTTTTATTGATTTTTTTACAGAGAGGAAGGGAGAGGGATAAGAGAAACATCGATGAGAGAGAAACATCGATCAGCTGCCTCCTGCACACTCCCTACTGGGGATGTGCCCGCAACCAAGGTACATGCCCTTGACCAGAATCGAACCTGGGACCCTTGAGTCCGAAGGCTGACGCTCTATCCACTGAGCCAAACCGGTTAGGGCACAGCTACAAGCTTTTATGTAAATCTAGAAATTGTCTGGCTTTAGTTTAGATGACTTCTCAGTAGATTAACCCATTACTCCTGTCTCTGTCATCAGGTCCCTCCAGTTAGATCATATTATGAGGCTAGAGATGTAGGGAAGTGACACCATGCTGATATTATTTTTGTTGTATAAGTAGTAATTGTCTGAATCCAGTTGAGCCTGTTACCATCCTACTGGCTGAATCTCTGCAACTGTGGCAAACCAACATAGCAAGTCAGTAGTGATCCCTGTGGCTGTGCTAGCCACCACAGTGCTGCTTAGAGGCTGCTCGACCACTTATTAGTTAGAAAGGGTAAGATTATCCTAATCTGAAGGGTGAATAAAGCCATTCTAACTTAGAGGAAAATACTCATGCCAAAAAATAGGAGTGAGCAGAAGTGAAACTTTGACATATTAGGGCAACCAAAAGGTGCAGGAATGGAGTAAGGAGTGAGAGGGAGATTGGAGACACAAATAAAAGAAAAGTTAAGTGAAAGATCAAGGTGGTAGAGAAGATAGAGTGAAGGGAACAGTAGCTCTGATGGAGAGAATCACTGTGTAAAAGAAGAAGACCTCCTTCCCCTCTGAGACAGAAGAAATCAACCTTCTCTCCATCCTTTCCAGTTCCCATTATCATCTGGTGTATCTTTACTAGGTCTGCTGACTAATCTTGTCCTACTGTCACCACTTTCCCAATATTCCATGTTTGTGATATTTTTAAATTGTCTATCACATGTTCTTTCCTAAAACCCATCAATGGCTTCCCAGCACCCAGGTTTTATTCTAATCACATTATTATGGACCCTAAGTTTCTTCACGTTTTGACCTCTGTCTTTTTATGTAGTCTTTGTCTCCTACCACTCTTTCATACATAATCTTCACTCTAGTTATGCTGAATAACTTGCTTTATCTGTAATGAGCCAAGCAGATAGAGTGTCTGTGTATGGTTGTATAGACTGCACTTTGAACATCTCCTCGAGGTCAATTTGTATAGTTATTAGAACTATTTTCTAGAATATGGCAGTAAAGTGTCTTATTCTAATGAAATCAATATAATATGACAATTTTGTGGCATATGGAAGTAAATTACTTTGAAGGAAGGGCCAATTTTATAAAAACTTGAACAAAGGTGCACCCCTGATCCTTGGTATAATTACTTATGTTTAGAATGTGTTCCAGCTGTCTTGTCCACCAGCAAATTACTTCTCATTCCACACAAGGAAGCTCAAACATTATATCTCTTCAAATATTACCAGGTATTTGATATAACTATCTCATGGTCTGGAAATATTTATGTTATCACACTTTTCAGTTGCCTAGTGTTGTGTTTTCAATATTCATCTTTATTCATTTTATCCATGAGGTGTTCTGGTTCAGAAGAAAATTTCTTACTTATTACCTCACAGTATTAGTAAATAAGAACTGTGTGCTTGCCCTCTTCCTCTCTTTTCCAGAGTGATTCTCTCCACCAGAGCTATTAATCCCCATCACTATATCTCCCCCAGGCCTCACCTCTGAGGCAAAGTGAAATTTATTACATGAGTGGCTAGATAACTCTATAGACAAGGGACAAGGAAGAATGATTTTTCTATGCTTATAAAGGTGAAGGAGGCAGCTGTCTATGGCTTGAGAGTCCCAAGAAAAGTGGATGTGAGGATGATCCAGGAAGGCCTCATTCACCAGCATGCAAGAGCAGTGGTCACACAAGAAGTGCTCAGGGCTGGGAAAATATCATACTGTGTCCTTTTCCCTACCCACATAAATACATGGAGGTTTGTTAGAATAAGCACTCACTTTAATCTTGAACAGGAAAAGAGCCTGGGGTGAGGTTTCTATAAGGCAGAGGTCTAGCTCCATACTTTTAGTGATGAGAGGATCTATATAAGAGTGTCAGGTTATATTTGGTAACAATTGAAAAGTTGGAAATTGGTATGGACAAAGTTCTAAGAACTTTACAAAATTTTATAATTATGATTGAATAAACTATAAAAGATGGAAAGTTCAAACATTTTCTCCACTCTAACTATTTGAAAAAGTGGTCTGCCAAGGGCCCTGAGTATTTCTACACATTTCTCTGGGTATGCTAAGAATGCAAGGTGTTAAATACTCATTACTCATGTTCTTTCTGACGGTTGCATTTGCAATGAGCAACCTTGAGCAACCAAGTAGTATCTTCTCCCAAACAAAGAGTAGGCTTGGTTAACAAACACTATAAAAGCAGTACGTTCCCCAAATTTAGTATTTCTTGTCTATGACAGAAATGCACTGTATATGCAGCACCCACCTGGACTTCTTTTCTTAGAATCAATGGGATTTGGGGGGTATGGGAAACTAGTATCAACATCATGCTTATGCTGCTTTTACATGCTTCATTGTCTCTAATCCAGGCATGTTATGTCTTCTGCTTGCATCCATGAAACAGTAATAAGTCCCAGACTATTCACAAATCCTGAAACTACTCACCTACATAAGAGAATCTTGACATTGCCATGCACAGGATGAGTCAAGTAACATAAGAAACTGCTGAGAAGGTAAGAGAAAGAGAGCTGAAGAAGGAAGCATGCCTTTTCTTTATGGTTCTCACTATTTGAAATTATTGATTTACTAGAGGCCTGGTACATGAAATTCGGTCACTGGCTGGGGTGGGGGGCTGTCCCTCAGCCCAGCCTTCACTCTCTCCAATCTGGAACCCCTCGGGGGATGTCCGACTGCCAGTTCACCACCAGAAGTCAGACATCCCTTTCACAATCTGGGACTGCTGGCTCCCAACTGCTCACCTGCCTGCCTGCCTGCCTGCCTGATTGCCCCTAACCACTTCCCTGCCAGCCTGATCGAAGCCTAACTGCTCCTCTGCCAGCCCAATTGCCCCCAACTGCCCTCCCCTGCCAGCCTGGTCGTCCCTAACTGCCCTCCCCTGCAAGCCTGGTCCCCCCTTAAATGCCCTCCCCAGCCAGCCCAGTCACCCCTAACTGCCCTCCCCTGCCAGCCTGGTTGCCTCTAACTGCCCTCCCCTGCAGGTCTGGTCCCCCGCAACTGCCCTCCTTCCCCTGCAGGCCCGGTCACCCCCAAATGCCCTCCCCTGCTGGCCATCTTGTGACGACATGGGCACGGCCATCTTGTGCGAGGGCTTGATGGTCAATTTGATTATTACCTCTTTATTATATAGGATTATGTCTGTTTCTCCCAATATAATTCAAGATCCTGGAAGTCAGGGACTTTTTAATTCACTGCTGTATCTTAATGAGTAAAGTAGTGTCTAGCAATGCTGAGGCTTAATAAATATTTGTTGAATGAATAAATGACTATCTGGGTCTTGAACCACCAGGTGTGGTGAATTGGTAGTACTCAGAATGGGTTACACTGGCTCATAACAGAAGTCTGCTCTCGAGCTGCATTTAAAGTTACTCCTCTTATCTTTGTGAATCAGCATTAAATATTTTATTCCTATAAGGTTGTTGTTTTTTTATATAAGTCCTTTAAAGAGAATTTTCCTCAAAATTATGTTATTAATCATTTCAGTCACTAAAGGAAGTACAATATGGGTATAGAAAGAAATGAATGCTATTGAGTGACCAGTCTATTCTAGATAATTTACTTGTGTTGCCTCATTTAATTCTCACAACTCTACAAGATCAATATATTAATATTTACTTTGCATGTAAGGAAATTTAGGTACATAGAGGTTAAATAACTTGCTTTAGCATACATAGCTATTAAATGGTATAGCTTTCTTTTTCTGGCTTCAAAACTCTTTCTCTCCCTACTACAACATTCTAGAGTTACGGTATTTTATTCCTGTGTTACAGTGAATGGGTTTTTCAAAATAACATTTAGGATGTGTAAGAGTCATGGTTCAAAATAAACAAACAGAAACAATTTTAGGTATTTTAAGTATGAAAGTATTAAATAGAGGGTACTTATAAAAATCCATGTCAGGATTGAAGAAGTGAGTTACAATCTGACCCTCCAAGAATCAATGATACCAGTTCAGTACAGAGTTGGTGTATCAGTATAGCTGAGGACTACTGGAACATGGGATTCAATAATTTAACCTCATGATAGAAGGTGGAATCAAAAAGCTACTGCTGTCACAACTGCTACAACTGCTTACTGTTTTCCAGGGGTTAAATAATGAACCATGGAATACCATGCAGAAAAATATTCAGATGACCTTTATTATAAAAGAAATACAGTGGGGCCTTGATTTACGAGTGTCCCGACTAACAAGTTTTTCGAGATACGAGCCGTCTCTTGGCCGATTTTTTGCTTTGAGTTGCGAGCTAAAATTCGGGTTACGAGCCAGCTTCAGATACCCCACCGCTAGTTGGCGCAGCGAACGTCACAGTGAACGCCACAACATCAGCCCAGCATCATGTGTCTCACTCGTTCACTGTTGATTTGACATACGAGTAATTTGAGTTACGAGCTCCGTCACGGAACGAATTAAACTCATAAGTCAAGGCCCCACTGTACAGCCAAAAATGGTCAGGAGGAAAACTTCTATTATGTTTTCTAAATCTTGCATGAGTATATCTAATTGATAAAACTAATTCAAAACCATAGCTCTAGGTGCAGAGGTGTCCAGGGAATGTTTTAAGCTTCTAGTGACTAGAAGTGGTTCTTAACCTTCCTAATGCCACGACCCTTTAATACAGTTCCTCATGTTGTGGTGACCCCCAACCATAAAATTATTTTCGTTGCTACTTTATAACTGTAATTTTGCTGCTTTTATGAATCATAATGTAAATATCTGATATACAGGATGTATTTTCATTGTTCGCAACCTACAGGTTGAGAACCACTGTAAGGTCTGCATTATGAAGTCACCATAAGAAGAGGGTGGAATGGACATTGAGTAAGACAACCTGCAACAGTATGGGATAAATACCAATACTTATACAGAATATTGTAAATATAATACAGAAGGTTATAAAATGTTCAAAACTGACATTAAAATCTTTGTGGCTATGATTTATCTGAGGAAGAACATGCTCTACACATATAATAAAGCCGATAATATATCTAAATGTGTATGTATCAGAAACAGGAAAATCAGTTGTAATGTAGTATCATTACTTTCATTTTTCTATAGCCCTTTGTTTGCTGACATGATTATTGACATGATTTTTTGGGAAAGGGAGGCATATTTCCAGCAGGCCCCAGAACTTTCTCTGGATTCTCTTTGTCTCTGATTTTTCATGTTAATCAAAAAGAAGGACTTAACAATTTAATAATCTAAAACTTCAAAGACACTTAACACACCCAGACATTTTACATGGAGGCCCCAAAGAGGCAAAAAGATTTACCCAAGGTCTCATGGAAACTGGACTAAAACCCAGGTTTTCTGACTTCCTGTCCAAAGCCTTTTCTTTTAATTTTTTTAACTTTTATAATAATTTATTTGAGCCATATTGACAACATGCTGGGAAGCAAGATCTCAAATGCTTGCTCCCCCAAAGCTTTTTCATCACAACAAAACCAAGCCTTAGATTGCATGCCTCTTAATACAGAGTGATACCATGTGCACATGTGCATGCATGTGTGCATGTGATTCCACTTATATCAAATTCAATAACAGACAAAACTAAGATATATTTTTAGGGAAGCATACTTACATTTGAACTAATGTTTGGTTAGTGGTGGATGCCAAGAGTTGTTACTGGGAAAAACCAAATGGGAACTTCTTAAGTGATGGGAACTCCTTAGGAAACTCACATTTTTGAAAGACTTAAGCTTTCTTTTATAAAGAAATATTAAAAACCCAATCTAATGTATATGACTTTTTTCAATAGCACTTAGTTTTAGTACTTACTATGTGACAGAGCCAGGCTAAATGTTTTCCATGGATAATTTCCTTTAACTCCCACAAGAGCACTCTAATAGAGACACTTTTATTATTGTTACTTTATAGATGAGGAAACTGAGGCCCAACCTTTCCCAAGTTGCCCAAATCTACAGTTGGGTAGCAGAGCTCGTATTTGATCCATCTGGCTCCAATTTCAGCAACGTAACCACTCTGCTCTGCTAGTCACCAGAAACTTAGTAAGTAAATTGTGCTCCCTTCTTTTTATTATTATTTTACAGTCATAAAGGTAATGTTATATATCTATATTAATAAGTCATTAATATAGTTATATTAATAAGAGAACAAACAGGATGCAAAATGATACACACACATATAATTGTGATTACAGCTATGTTAAAAATACATATGCATAGGTATAAAAGGCTAGAATATAAAACACAGTAAGTTAGGATGATGAAAATATGGGTACTTATTTTCCCACTTCTGCTTTTCAAATTTATTTTAAAGTGGCCGTATTAAATTTACAATGAGAAAATGTGCTCTAAAATAAACTTCCCATTTCCCTAAAACATAAAATTTCATTTCCACACTCTTCTCTCCTACAGCTTTGTATAATCTTTAGAAATCTATCCTGCTCAATGAGTGACTTCATTACTAAATTGATGGCACTGGATCATTCTAGCTATGCAAATCACAAACCCACAGCCAGCTGAGGGAAAGGCGGATAAAAGATTGCATTAAAAATTAAAGCAACATGTGGAGATGTGGAGATAATGTGCTTACAATTACTTCTACATATTTAATATTTATGCAATTACAGAGCCAGTCATGACAAATCTTAAATCTTGAATCATATTCTTTTTGCCCTTTGATGTTTTTGACCTTGAACTGAGACTGCCAAATAACATGTAAATAATGGCTTTGTGAGAAACATTTTCTTGGCCTATAATGATAAATGCTTTTTTTTCTTAGAAAGTGATCTCATTTCTTCCCAGCCTTTGTTTATTTTCAAAGCCTTGTATTTTTTTTTTTTTTACTCTGTTTTATTTTAATAACCCTTGCAAGCACTGAGCCTTTAGTCTTCCACAGTTTGGTTGTGTTGTTTTCTGGTGCTGCTGCTGTCAGAGGAAATTTACAGGGACATTAGCCTACTTGACAGGCACAATGAGCCACTAGGCTCTCCTAAGGAGAAACTTCCATGTGCTGTGGTGAGGGTTTTCAGTCCCACCGTCCCTCACACACCTTCATATACCACCATCATTCAGATACAAATCCCAAGCACTTTCTCTTAAAGGCAGTGCGCTGCATCCTGGATTTAATTCTCTGGTTTCTGATAACAACATTGCATTAGTTCTGCAGTAATGAATTCATATTTCTGGAACAATCTGACTATAGCAGTTTGTGGATAAAACCAGCATCTTCACTTACAGGGATATAGGTACCAAGTAAGGAATGGGTGGGAACCCTTTTTCCCCTCTAATGGTCACTGAAACAAAGAAGGTAAAATGGCAACCAAGAACTGTACAAATGAAATATACAATATAGTTAAATTTTATGGAAGGTGTTTAGAGAAAAAATTCAGAAACAGTTAATTTACTTTTTTCAGTGTGTCATAGAAAAATGATCAACAAGAATCAATAAAATGTACTCAAAATTAAAAAACATAAAATGAGACATAACTGAAAGGGTAAGCTACTTTTTGGCAAATCCCAAATAAATTAGAGTATTTCCCTAAAGCCATTGCAGAACCAAAGGCCTGTGCATTTTCTGTTTCATCTATACTACGCAGACCCTCAGGAAGTCAATTTACTAAGACATAGCAGTTCTGGTATATTCAGACCCTGATGCTAAGTTATCTCTTCAATTTAAACATATCTAAGCCTTTTAAATAATTTAAGGTTTTTAAAAGAATATTCCATTTGCTTTGATATGTTTAAATTATAAGCATACCACTGTGTAACCTACAGAAATTATTTAGAACAGTCCAAATTCACATTAAGTTTCTTGCTAATTCTCTGTAAGAAACAGATATATTTACGAAGCCAATCCATAATATAGGTCTGAGCTGCCCTGTTTGTTGAATGAATAAATAAGTGAATGAACCTTGCATTATCTGGAAACTAGGAATAGGTGGCTTTCAGGTGGACTTATTATTTAGAGAAATAACTGGGAATATTATTTGTTTGGCCCTGTCTTAGTACAGGCTATTATAACAATACTAGAGGCCTGGTGCACAAAATTCATGCATGGGTAGGGTCCCTAAGCCTGGCCGGCGACCAGGGCTGATCTGTGGGGTGATGGGGGGGGGGAGGGCCCTGCTGACACCCGCCTTGGCTGGCCTGGCACTGCCCACTCACCAGCCCTGCCCCCCCCCCCCCAACCGCCTCCAGAGGCGACTGGCAGGGCAATCAGGGAGGAGTGCAGGGGGCGCTGGCCAGCCCCGTCCCCCGCCGCTGGTCGCCTCCCTCTGTAGGGAGACCGACGGGGTAATCGAGGGGCCCCCTGCTGGCACCCTCCTTGGCTGGCCTGGGGCCTGAGGGCTGGGGGTAGCTCCTGCATTGAGTGTATGCCCCCTGGTGGTCAGTGCATGTCATAGCAACCAGTTGTTCCACCATTCAGTTGATTTGTATATTAAGCTTTTATTATATAGGGTACTATAGATTGGGCAGTTTATAAACAGAAACTACTGCTCACAGATCTGGAAATTAGAGATCAAGGTGTCACCATGGTCAGGTGAGGGCCCTCTTTCAGTTTGCAGACTTCTTCCTCTTCACATGGTGGAAGGGACTAGGGAGCTCTGTAGGGTCTCTCTTTCTGAGCACTAATCTGTTCACGAAGACACCACCCTTATGACCTTCCAGAGGTCCTGGGTCCTAATACCAGTGGGATTCAACATATGGATTTTTGAAAATGAAACATTTCAGCCAAAATAGGGCCCCTTCCCTTTTTCACTTTCTTGGGGTCATGCTCTCCAAATGTTTTGGAATGGCCAACTGCAGCTGTCTTCTCACCTATGCCCTCAGTCCCCCCCTACCTTTATGAGGGAAAATAAAAGTTTTTCAGTCCTGGCAGCCTGGTAGTCCTTGGAGAGACTGACTCATTGCTCAGGCTTCCTAAAAGGGAGAGCAGACCACAAATTCCTGTCTTTGGAGTGGTTCTTCCTTAGTTTGGTTTTCTGCAATGACAGGACACTCCTCTCTGCCTTCTGCTCCTCTGTAGTGACTTGAAGGATGAGGAGGGGGACCAAGTTTTTTAGGCTGTTAGGATGACTAGAGGTTGTTATAGCTAGTCCGGTGCAATGGCAACATGTGCCATTACCAGTAATCTTGCCCATTATCTGGAAAATACAGAAAACTTGAAGAAGAGGAATTATTTACTCTCACACAAAGAAAGCTAAGGCACCAAACACTGGACTTTATATACAACCATTTTCCATCTTAAGGTCTTTAGAAATAGAATTTATTAATTTATTAATTATCTAGGGTGACTTGAGTAAGATTCTTTCTGAAACAGGAGATAATTTAGCTATCTCCGTTTCCTGTTTCCATTTTCTTTAAAAAGACCCCACATATACCTCATACAAAGTGTATCTAAACTCATTTTGTGTTTGTTTATTTTTAGTTAAAGGGTCATAAAATGGATTAAATTTCATAAACAATACAAGTTTCTGTTCACCTCTAAATCAGTGGGAGATTTTCTCTAATTTTAACCCTAGATTATTTTAACATATAATTATCAAATGCCCACTATATGCCACGCAGGTAGACATACAGCATAATGTATATGTTAAACCTTTAATGTGCAGAATGCATATAGGTACTGAGAACTCTTTGGACCCTCTGATGAATCCATTCATGTTTTCTGTACACACTCATAGTTTAAACTCTACTTAGGTGACTGCTACAAATCCTGCATTTCATTTACTTCTTTGATCCCCTAGGACTAAACCAAAGACATTGAATTTCAGCTCCAGCACCCCCAACCCCAGCCTAATGGATGCATTTTCATTGGCATGGGTGTATCCAGGAGTAGTATTACATCACCTCCCCTAAGTCCTGAGGAGTACTAAGGGGAGGAGTACTAAGAACTCTTTACTGAAAGTCAGTGCCCAGGAAAATGAACTGCCAGAAAGGAGTGTAAAACATTGAAGCATTTGCCAGTCTACATGCCTGCACTCACAGCTAAGAAGCAGCTACAAGATGGATGGACAGGGAAAATGACTCATTTGGAAGCCTGGCAGTCAAAGAAAATCCAAACCCAGGAGCTTTTCTCCTAAGAACCCCTATGACATTTTATTCTTTAAATAAATCTTTTCTTCCTCTCCTTAGGTGAGAGATTGACATTTTAAGATCAATCATGCCTCTGCTTTGCAGGGTTGGTAGACTTAGAATAGGATAAATGGAAATTAAGCAAAATTTCCATTTTTTAAAAAAATAAAAATGTCCAAAATAGCAATTTTCTAACTCAGTATAAAAGAAGGATACTCTTACCCCAATGGTCATTCCCATTATTATAGTTATCTCAAGACCTTTTGATGTCAAAATTTCACCCTGTTTTATCTAAAAGCCCCACTTTGAACATACACAAATTTATTACATAAAATGCTTTATATAATGCATCTCAGTTTGCAAAATGTGCAACAGTTGGTATTGGGACCTAGTAGATTATTTGAAATTTAGCATGAGTCCCCAATTTCTGACATACAGAAGTAAGGGGAGAAAAAAGGAAACATCTTGATTTTTAGATCTCATCTTCCTGCATTTGTGGTTAGTTCATTTTAATTTATTTTATCAAAAGGATATAGTATCTTGCCATACACCATTGATCAGAAGGAGCACCGTTTCCTCTTTCCATTTCCTTAAAAAAGACCCCACATATACTTCATACAAAAACAAACAAACACCAAAACTTTGTTTTAAATGAAAGACAGGTAGTAAGGTAGGAGTTATATTGAGTAGCTCTCTCTATTTCCCTGACTTCCTAATAACATTTCATGGCTTTCTTTTCTTTCTTTCCTCACTCTCACTATAAATATCAGAGCTGGTGACTGACTTTTACTGCTGCCTTTCATGCAAACTTCTCCGTAAAGCAGTTACTGATTCTGAGAGCCATCTCCCTGTCTCCCACCCTCACTCATACAGTTTTCTAATGGGGCTAAGGGGCCACAAAGAATATAAAAAACATTGTAGAGGACATTGATTTAAACAGTGAAACTCAAAGGTTTGATTTTGGACTCAATGCATCAGCTCATACCAGTCCCCTTGGTGCATGGTACAAGGCAGCCACCCACTGAACATTTTACTGATTGAGAAGATGGCAAAAGGGCAGCCTAAGAGGGACACAAAGGAGAATAGAAATGTTTGCAGCAAAGCCTTCCCACAAACAGGAATTCTACTCCCTACTTCAAACACTGTTTCTCTTTGAATATAACTTTTCAAGATACTTTATCTTTCTAAAATGAGCAGCCTTCCCTAATAAAGTGAAGTTTAACGTTCTATTATACCTATCCGTTAACCTTCTTATATCACTTTACACTCACATCATTATTCTCCTGATTAAAGGTTATAAACAAATTTAGAGGATATATTGATGTGTGTGTATGTATGTATATGTATACATACTAGAGGCCCAGTGCATGAAATTCATGCATGGCGTGGGGTCCCTAAGCCTAGCTGGCGATCAGGACCAATTGGGGCCAGGCCAATCAGGACCAGGCCAGAGAGGAGGCGACAGTCGCTGGGTCGAAGGGAAGGACCCAGACGCTGATGCTGCCATCATCAGCGCTGCGCCACAGCGCAGTTCACTGCCTCCCACTCCTCCTTCCCTCGCCACCGCCACCGTGCTCCACTGGAGTGGGCAGCGGCAGGCCAATTAGGGCCTGCCAGCTGCAGGGAGGGATGGAGCACAGGAGGTTGGCCACCGACCCCAAGGAGGGAGCCAGCCCTCAGGCCCCCCTGGGAAAGAGGCTGTGTCCACCGCTACCCACCCTTGGTTCCCTGTCCCAGCCTAGGGGATGGCACCAATGGGGCGATCGAGGCCTGCCAGCTGGGGTGAGGGAGGAGATTGGCTGTGGGAGCACACTGATAACCAGGGGGCAGCTTCTGCACTGAGCGTCTGTCCCCTGGTGGTCAGTGCACTTCATAGTGACTGGTCATTCTGGTTGTTCCGATCGCTTAGGCGTTTTATATATATATATATATATATAATATATATATACACACACACACACATATAATCAGATACTATAATTTAAAACATAGAAGAATGGAATAATTAACCATGGTGATTAGCATTTTTGAGGACAAAATATGTGCCAGGCACTGTACTAAGCTTCTCAACTATTATCAGCTCTATTTTATAGGTTATTATCAGCTCTATCTTATGGGTAAGAAAATGGAGACATAAGATGTTAAGTAGCTTGCTTGGGGTCACATGGGTAGAAGGTATCAGGGCAGGCATGCATTAACCTAGGCCCTGCATTCCTTTGCTTAAAATTGGATGCTCAGTATCACCCAACAAATAATACTATGTGTTATTCAGGAACCTGGTTCTAAACATTAATTAAACTTGATGTTACTGCCAAACTTCTGGATTTTGTGATAATTCTATCTTCCTCAAAAGTAAAAGTTTCTAAGATTACAGCTCCTGGAAACACACTTTTAAACCCCAGGTTCTTGGGCTATGCTGGCCAATATAATAGCATGCATAGCTTCTTCAATTTCAATTAGATTAAGTTAGCAAAAACCTCCCAGTTGCACTAGCCACATTTCAAATGCTCAACAGCAGCATGTGGCTGGTGGTTACTCTGTTAGCTGGCATAGCTATGGGACATTTCCACCATAATTGCTGTGCGGCTCCAGAAACAGATAATTGAGGAGCTACAAAATACTAAACAGTCTTTGATCCGCTTCCAGAAAAAGAATGACATGTGTTTTAAAGCAAGGACATTTATTGAGCACCTGCTCTTGGCCAGGCACTGTGCTAGGTGCTGATGGTACAATGATCAGTTTGATCAATGAGGCAGACATGATTTCTGCCCTTCCTGGAACTCACAGTCTCTGCCAGAGTGACCCTGTAATGATAAAGGAGGCCTACATTCTAGGAGGCATAGAAGACCTAGATGACGCAACATCTAGCCCCAGCTTCACGGCAGGGATCAAGGCAGAGCTTTCTGGAGACAGAGGAATCTAAACTGAAGCCTTGATTGTGAGAAGACTCATGAAACAAATATGAGAAGAAAGATGTTTCTGATTGAAGAACCAGCCTGTGTGAAAACTCAGAAGGGGAGAGAACATGCCATGCTTTGAAGGAGTTCAAAGAAGTCAATAAAATTACTTTCTGCATTTTTTTGTTTCTTAGCATCAGAACTTAGGTAATTTTTTCTAATTCATTTATTTATTTATATATTTTTGCATTTTGTCCACACAGAGGAAGGCAGAAGAGAAAGAAAAAGCAGAGGACATTTCAGAAGATGTATGCAGGAGCTAAAAGTAGCTAGTAGCTACCCAGCACCACCCAATGTGCTCCAATGTGAAGAATGTAGGTGAACAGCAGCCTAGGGATGACAACAGCAACATGGCAGCCACTTCAGATAAAGGACATGTGCCCAATACTATGCTGGGTGGTTCATTAATATTATTTTACTCAATCCTCATCATAAATGTGACTGTTTTCCTATATTTACTTTTAGATAATTAGAAATTAGTAGAGCAACCCATTACATTGAACAACCCAAACTAATGAGCCCTTTATCTATCTTCTGAAATCACAGGTTATGGGGATCCCCAGTTCTTGCTTCTTCTCTGCCCCAGGCTAGTACTACCTAAGATGATCACATAGAGGGATGGTTGAACTGACATGAACACATGGAAGGAAAGTCAAAGAGTGGAGCTAAGAAAACTTGTGCTGCAGAGAAATTAGTTTTCACCAAATTAAAACTAAAGTACAATTCAAGAGAAAAAAGTAGGGAAATGCCCTATCTCTTTCAGAACCAACCTGTTAAACCATTTACCAATATTGACTTACCCCAACAGAAGAATTTTGTTTTTTAGAATTTTCCCGAAAAGTACTAACTAGGAACACTTGTATCAGACAGATTCAAAACATGTATGACTTACAGTGAGATAGTTCAAGCCAACTTTCTTCCCTCTCAGATCGCCTCAATCTGTTAAAAGCTCTTTTGTAACTCAGCTAAGATTTCAGTGCTGTATATCTACAGATAAAACTCTTTGTTCACATCAAGCAGTAATTAAATGTTCAGGGCATGAAATAAGCAGCAAGTTTGGCTTCAGAGCCATCTTGCAATTTGTAAGTGATCCAAGATAGACCATATGCCTTTAAATCTAGATGACTGCATATGTATTCAGGAGAAAGCTAGCTGCCATTTCTGCACAAGAGTCATCAAAAGATGGAAAAAGACAAATTTCTGTAGCTTGTCTGATAAATGTATATTAATATATGTCCACTGAGAAGGTAAACTGCCCTTAACTTTTCCTTTTGGGTTTAAAATTCAGTTTTACTAGAGAAAACATTCAAACTGACAACTGAAACTTGCATTATTCTTCAGTAACTCATTGCAATGGACGGGGGTAGCCATTTGGACAGAGTTGTCTGTTTAGCAAGGGCTGCCGCATCGTTTGTTTTGTTTTGTTTTGTTTTGTTTGGCTCTTTAATGAAATTCCTCTCCTATTCCACACTGGGACTGTTTATCATTGTTCCACCCTGATTCCTGAACAGGCTCTCCATGGCCTGTGTGTGTGTGTGTGTGTGTGTGTGTATGTGAGAGGGGGGGGGGGGAGAGAGAGAGAGAGAGAGAGAGAGAGAGAGAGAGAGAGAGAGAGATTGGTTCATTCATGAACATGTGGCATAGCCACATCAATCTGAATCTTCCTTGGGAATGCTTATACAGACATGGGAAAGATAAATCTACCATCCACCGGCTTGCTAAGCTAGGAGGATGTGAGAGTGAGGCTGCTGGTGGTCACCTTGCCACCATGTGAAGAGAACCTGTGTGAGAACAGTCAAGCAGGGGAAAACAGAACTGGGAGATGACAAAACAGAACTGGGAGATGACAATCAGCTTTCTGACCACATTGCTTGGGCCCCAGATTCTGTGGTGTCTGATGTCACTTCATGATCACTGAATGAGTTAAACGATGTCTGGCAACCAGTGGGTACTTAATAAACATATTACTTCCCATCTTTTTTCCTCCCTCTTTGACTTTGGGAGCTGCCAGAGAATTCAAACCATCTTCTGTTTCTGGCAGTTAGAGCTAAGCCAATAAGACAGAATGGAAATGACGAGCACAATGTCAGTACCCCAGAGCAATGCAGGCTCCCTCTGTCTCTTACAGATAGCTCTTTGGAAATAGCCATTCTTTGCTCCGTGCACTCTTATAGTTCAGACAACAGCCAGCCATAATCATGGTGGTACAAAAAAAATGATACTTTATTTCCTAGGGTAGGAAGGAGATGAGTTTGTCAAATTCTAAAGTGGAACCTACTATAGGAATCTGGCTGCATAAACACATCAACAGACATGCAGTTTTCCACTGGTCAGTTGTAGAAAGGTGCCAATCCAAGCTTGTTGGCTGTTTGCCAGTGGCACCATTCAACAGAAAGCAGGCAATCCAGAGTGTAAAAATATAGAATTTATTAAGTTGACACAGTGTTTAACCTCATGAAAACCAGACAGCATGGTGGTAATTGTGCTAAATATTAATAGTGATTTAAAATGCAGTTATGATAGGGCAAGTAAAACCATTGCTTCTGAGTGGTATTTGGAAAATATGCAGCATTTCACCCCTGTTGTGCAGATAAAACATTTACTTGCATAATAAATCCTGGTTGTTGTTGATCAAATTGGGTGGTTTATGTGATACAAGCTGTGTAGCATGAAAATCTTAAAGGTAATTTCTGAGAACTTATGTTTATGATATTTTCAGACTCAATAAGCAATATCATAAAAATCATAGAATTTAGAACTGGAATGGAAGAAACCAAGTCTCAGAAAGGTTTAATGAGTTGTTAAATGGCAAGGTGAGGACCTCAAGAACATGTCTTCGGTTTTCAGTTGGACATCTCTCCATCAACCCCACTCTCTCATAGATGATAGCACACCACATTAGAATTTGGAATGATCCTTTAAGTCATCTAGTCCAACTTGCTCATTTACAGGTACAGAAATGGGGCCCAGAGAGATAAGGTTCTTGCTAAAGGTCAGAAAGGAGTTAGACTAAAAAGTATTGACTCCTGGACCCATGCTCTCTTCTTTGTGCCATGTCTAAACATGCTTTATCAAACTTAGTTGTAACAACAAGTCATCCCACCATTTAATTCCTGTCAAAGGGCAAACAAACTAACAAACACCAGTCATCACCAGAGAGATCTGGTAGTGCATGAGGTCTGGCAATAAAAAATTTGGGATCTGTTTTTGTTCATCAGTTTATGTTGTTCATTATAATCCACAAATGAATGAGATCATGTGATATTTATCTTTCTCTGACTGAGAGACAGAGAAGCATCGATCAGATGCTCAAACCTCAGAGGGAAGGTAGGGTGCTGGGGTCCAACCCCCGCAGGTCCAGGGGTCCCCAAAGGTGTGGACGGAGTCGGCGAAGAAGAAATGACATGGAGGCAGCATTCAGTTGATCAGCAGCCTAGCCAGATACTCTAGTCAGGTTCTCCAGCCAGGTTCTCTAGCCAGGTTCTACTCTGGATCTCCAGCGAAGTTCTTCTGTCTCTAGAGAACGTTCTGTGTAGGTTCTGTGCCTCCTGGTTCTGTCTTCTGAGTTCTGTGTTCTAAGTTCTGGGTCTTGCTGTCTTGTTGCATCTGTATTTATACCAATTGATTCAATCCTATCAATCTCTATTACAAAGGTTAGGGCGTTTCTTATCTTCATTCCAGGGAGTAAAGATTATGTAGCTTAAGCACGATTGTTCGTAGTTAAAGTGATTAATTACCCACCTGGCACTTAGTTAAGAGGTTTTATTCCCTCCCTAAATTCAGGGGAAAATCCCTACCTGGGGAAACAACCTTTCTCAGAGAGGAGACCTTGGTTAAAACACATAGTGCCAAGAAGGTGAGCAAACATATTAAGAACAATATGCCATATATGCCAGGTCCCTTGAAACAGCAAGGATGGACCGGCTCCCGGCAAATTCCCCCTTTTTTATTTTTTAAAAGCAGGCATTAAAAAGAAAAACCCCAAATGCTCTCTTGTATCCATTTTAAGAGTAGGATTGGCGCTTCCCGCTATTACCTGAGTCCTGATCTATCACCCCAGGGAGAGCTTGCCAATCCTGCACTTTCCCGGGGTGGAAAGGCTGCAGTGGGGTTAAGGATAAGGCTCCTTGGGCCTACCTTCTCCCATGCCTTTACATTTACCTTTCCTTCCTCAGAAAAGCATGGACATACTTCTTGTATAAAACGTTCTGTCTGACTGGGAGTAACCTTAATTCCTCTGCTAGCAAGCATATGTGTTAAAAGATCAATACAGAGTCTTTTTTCTTTAGACTCAGTATGGCACATCTTCTTAATCTAAAGATCAATACAGAGTCTTCTTTCTTTGGACTCAGTATGGCACATCTTCTCAATCTAAGAATCAATACAGAGTCTTCTTTCTTTGGACTCAGTATGGCACATCTTCTCAATCTAAGTTCTGTACTATCCACCTTCTTACCCTACTTATCCTCTGTAGGGGGGTCTGCAGTACCCTGGTGGAGTCTTATCCGTCCCAAGTGTGGGGGTTCTCAATGAGGGGGGGGGCTTACCTAGGGGAATCCTGTTCCAGGGCTTCCCAAAGGTGTGGACGGAGTCGGCGAAGACTATCCACCCTCTCCTACGGTGGAGTCCTATCCATCCCGAGAGTGGGGCGCTTACCTAGGGGTCCCTGTTCGGGCGCCATATGCCGGGGTCCAACCCCAGCAGGTCCAGGGGTCCCCAAAGGTGTGGACGGAGTCGGCGAAGAAGAAATGGCGCCCAATGGAGGGTGGGGGTTAGGGGGAGAGATCAACCAAAGGACTTGTATGCATGCATATAAGCATAACCAGTGGACACAGACACCAGGGGGTGAGGGCATGAGCAGTGGGGGGGGAGGTTAATGGGGGGATAAGGACACATATGTAATACCTTAATAAAGAAAGGAAAAATATATAATAATACAAACATAAAAAGAGTTCAGAAAAAAAATTTTTTCTGGGAGAAACGGTCTCTTAGTCAAGTAAATGCAGAGTGAAGTATAAATAACCAACCAAGCTGAAAGACTGTAGTCTGCCAGGTGTGTTGTGGTATTTTATTTTCCTATAGTCACTGAGATCTAGAGGCTACAGCTATTTCTGATATTGAAACCTCACTGGCTTTAGCGAGAAGGCCCTTAAATAGCCTCAAACATCAACTCTTTTCTCTGTTCTTAGTTCCTACTTTATTCTGATATAGAAGACAGGGTTAAGCATAGAGTATTTGTGTTGTTGTAATTTAAAATTCACTGCTTTCTAAATTTCTGTAGGATATGCATATACCAGGTAGAGTCTATATAGCTATAAATAAGTGTGTGTGTGTGTAAAGAGGAGTTAAGTCATTCTATCTAAGGAAGAGGGGGAAGGTGAGAAGCAAGCCTCAGTGTGCCTGTCCACCTACATGAGAATATTAACATTGTTAATCAGTATTACAGACTTAGCTTTGCTTCCCAGGGAAATGGTTAGTAGAGATGCAAAATGTTTTAATCCTTTCCAAGCAATGTTGTCCTGGGTGGTAGCCAGGAAGGAGAGATTTTTTTTTCTTTTCATTTATACCTTTGAGCAACGTTGTGCAGTTTGAGTTACTAACAATAAGAACCAAGCTAATGTCAAATCAGGTTAATGAGGAACTATAGCTGCTTGCCCTATGCCCAACATAGTGGCTAAGCCCTACCAGAGAGACAAAAAATAATATTGCCCTTGCCCTTGAAGTTCACTATCTTTTTAGAATAACAGTATTTAATAACAAAAACAATAAAAAGTTGTCAGTTGGGTACAGTGAATTCTGGTAGGGCTCTCCTTCATCCAGTGAGGAATGACCCAGAGAATTAGTCAGAAGGCCAGCAAGGAAAAGAAGGTAGTTTTGAACACTGAAGGCACCCCAAGTCTGAACACTAGGGCTGTCTCACAAGAATTCATAAACGGCATCATCTCCTTTTATTTTTCTTGCTTGCTTTGTTGCCCTGTGACAAAGACTCTTGAGGCTGCAGTGTAAATGGGTCCCTCACTCCACACTCTATCCCTTGGTCCTTATGCGGTCTATTATGTGACTCAGAAAGTGATGTTCTCAAGGCCTCAGAGAAATGGTGTGAAAGAGCCCCTTCATTCTTGCTCATAACACCATCGACTTTGGACCAGGGACTGTTATGGATCTGAACAGATACTTTCCTCTGATCTGGAGTGACAAGCCTCAGATCAAACCTGCAGTCTCAAGACTCTGTTATTATTGAGAATAAGAATGTGATTTTGTTGTTGTTGTTTTTCTTATTTTCCTAGCTCACACATGTGTTTTTTGTGCAAATAATTCCCTTGATGGTTGTGCCCTATTTGTTCTTCAGTTATATTC